TAAGACCTTTTAAGGCCTGGTTTCACAAACGGTGCTTAGCTTAAGCCAGGACTAGACCTTAGTTAAATTAAGATATTTAAGCAACTTTTACAAAAATGCGTTAGAAGAAAACATTACAGGTGTGCATCTTGACACAGAACAGTGAAACTACTGACATATTTTAAGATAATGTCAGAGCAAGATATTTTCAGTTGAGACAGCTCAAACATGCATTTTAGTCTGGGACTAGCTTAAGCCTCGTCTGTGAAACCAGGGGTATGACCTTTTTAACTGTAGAAACCCTACTGACCATATATATATACTGTATATACACACACAAACAAAGTGTGAGTAATTTATCCATCATCAAACCATAATCGCTCCAAAAGTAAAACAGAAAATCATAAGACATGAAATAACAGACAATAACAGATAAGCAGTCACTAAAACAGCTGGTTATGAGTGTAGCCTTACAAACATGTGATTCATAAACTGATGCAAACTGTTTTCATGTTTTAACAGCCGTGTCTCTAGATCTGTAGATGACGTCTCTGCTCTTAAGCTCTCGCACCACACCTGAGAGACAAAACACAAAATCAACCTCATGTGAGTGATTTTCAGCAAAGGTTTTCACAGAAAATACACTGTAAAAAAAGATTGTGATTTTAACAGTAAAAGACTGTAAAAATGCTACAGTGAAAACCTGTTAACTGGTTAACAGTAAGTTTCCATACTATATACGGTGAATAAATGTAATTACATTTAATGTAATTTTACAGTAAAATACTGTTAAAAATACGGTTTTTGGAAGTGAAAAAGAAATTGGTTCATCATGTGACTTTCTCATCACCACCAGTTTTTGGTGGTTATCAGTGCATTACAATGGTTCAAAACAGATATTAACACTTCAATATTTTGGTTTATTAACATTACAGTTTATTTATTTGGTTTATTAACATCAGTTAATGAAATACGGTATTTTATTGTGAATTTAAGTTAAGTCTGTAAAACCTAAAATGTTGCGACCATATTTTTTTACCGTGAAGTTCTGGCAACCACAGCTGCCGGTATTTTACCGTAAATGTCACAGATTTTTTTTTACAGTGTACAAAATGTCCTTCATTTACAGTCATGAGAGAGCCATTCTGCTGAACGAGACCAAAATCGGACACTAACCTGGAGGTAACCGACCCGTTACCGTTACTGCATAGACACCTGGCTTGAAGTTACCTGAGAAAGACATCCACACTGTTACTGAACTGAGCTGAATAATGACTCTACTGCCTTTGTAAAGCTGCTTTATAGCTGTACTTGAAGTTGTTTCATAATTGATGAAACATTAACACTGCTATTTTCCTGTTTATTAATGTGAAGCGCCTTTGAAATCATCTGTATTGTGTAAAAGTGCTACATAAATAAATGTGAAATAAAAAGGAAGACCGAAATGAGTGAGGCAAGCAAAGCAACTCCACCTGCCTGCTTCTGAAGATCTCACAGGTGAAGTGCACGCAAATACTCACCGATTCTTTGCCATTTTGCCACCCAACTGTCCTCCGGGCTCATCATAGCAACAACACTATAATGAAGACATCACACATTAGTGCTCAAATGAAATCCAACATCCATGTGTGTTGTTTTTTTTTTAAAGAATAGTCGACTCAACAATGGATATTCTATCAGTTTTAACACACCTTAACTTTGCAAACCAGTGCAATTCTCTTTCCTAAGTTGCATGGGTTACTCTAATGGTGCTTTTTAAATGTGAATCACCGCCTGTTGTCATTACATGGACAAGAACAGCTCATACAATCTGCCAGATATCTCAGTTTTTGGTACATGGAAGAAAGCAAGCAAGCCATACAGGGGGAGTAAATGATGATCATGGAGTGAATTATCACTTTAACTCTAAGAAATGCCATTACGCACCCATCAAAAGAAGAGCTTGTGCATTCATAAACCATCTCTCGGTTGCCCTTCATCTGCAGGTATGATTCACAGTTATCACACCCGTCGTACTCAAACTGATCAATAGTCTGAAACCAGAGAAGATTATAGAGAAATGATATCAATCAAATATATTCAGTATTTCCTATGCAAACCACAGCTGGGCTGTAATTGTAATGCCTATGACTGTATTTAACAATATAATGTTTAATGTACATTGTATGACTGTAAGCAGCAGACACACACAAATACATACACTCACCATTGTATATTCATAACACGGCATTTCCATGTCCAAAAACATTATCGTGATAAGACAGAGAAAGCCTATCTATAGAGTTTCATACCAGCGTTATACTCATCTGCTCTGAATATCTAAATATGTACATGCATCAATGATGAAAGCATCTGTTTTGATAAATGTCTTGTTTACCTTGACAAGAGAGCACAGCAGACACGCTCTCAAATGACGCAGATCTTTCGGGACAGTCTCCAGAGACATTTCTGTTGCTTTGAATTTTTAAATTTTAAAAAATTAGTTATAGATGCCTCGGAACAACGATTGTTTCGACGAGTTCTTCTTCTTCTTCTTTGACGTTTTATGGCTGTTGGCAAACCAGCTTTAGGTGCATTTACTGCCACCTACTAGGATGGAGTGTGGAGCATTGACTTTAAAGGAAAAAACAAATTAGTAGTGATTCTTTAAATCCTGTTTATTAACTCTGTATCTTTGAGATACTTAAATAATATGTGAAACATTTCTATAGTCACATCTTTATTTAACAATTTCTGAAGTGAGATCTGATTTATTTCTATATGAAGTGCTTCTGTAAGTTGTACTCTTTCGTTGTCATATCCTTTACATTTTATTAAAATATGCTCAACTGTTTCAGGAAGATCACATTTAACACAAAGTCCAGACTCATGTTTTCCTATTATAAATAATGATTGATTAAGTGCAGTGTGTCCAATTCTAAGGCGAGATATTATGCGGTCTTCCTTGCTATTCCCAAAAATTCTCCTCTCATTTCCAACTGTTCTTTGAAAATTATATAAATGCCGTCCTTTATTCTCACCATCCCATTTACTTTGCCATATATCTTTTAATGCTTTTTTAATTAGCCCTTTTATTTCTAATTTACTCATTGGAACATTAAATTCTATGTCTGGATGTTTTAATGGAAAGAATCGCGCAGCGAATGACATTTATCCGTACAAAAGAGACAATTGTTTTTGTTTGTATTCTGAACAAACTTTGTAAAATGTCTGATAAAATGTTGAAGATTTACCACTCTTTAAACTTGATAGTGCTGAAAAAGAGTCTGAACATATGACTACTTCAGGTAGGCCTATATTAATGTCTTCAACCCACTTGAAGAGCCATTAATATGGCAATCATTTCTGTTGTATAAACTGATAGGTGATTAGATGTTCTTTTTGCTATTCTATACCTGAACCTTGGAACATATATTGCTGCTGCTGTGCGTCCTGTTTCAGGATCTTTAGATCCATCTGTATATATATGAGTTACTGATATATATTTCTGATCTAAATATTTCTGTACTATTGAATCTTTAGATTCTTGTCTGTTTTTATCATTTATACTCACTAAAACCTGAAGGTCAACTGCAGGCATTGGGAATAACCATGGAGGTGTTGTGCTATTCTTGATTTTTGAGCATTAATAAAAAAACACAAAAAAAAAACAACAACCGCACATTCGGCGACGAGTAATGACGTCACTGACACGCGCCGCTCGATCGTGATTTGAAATAGTTATTCATTTCTGGTCATATAATTAACTTGAAATATTAGTTTATTCAAATTCCGACCCTTACGGTGCATTTAGACAATTAATCTGTAGGTATGTTTGTGACCCGTGAGCTGCGTTGCCTGAAACAGTCTGAACTATATTCCAATGAGAACGCAAGAGTTTCATAAATGGAATTTATTTCATAAATTCATAATAGAAACCACAAATCCTATTAATTCCATAATGTTTGTTTTTTTAATATTCCATGATGTTTTAAAATATTTTTTTAAACAAAATGTGTTCTGATGCAATTGACTGTAAACGAACTGTACTGATCCCAGCAGCCACTAGAGGTCGCTATTAACCCGCCAGAGCTTAGAGGTCACGTGATCCTCATTCTGATGCGGTTTAAATGTGTTCCATATGTGAACACGCGCTTAACGGTTCCAGTAACGGCTGCGGTAGGCGATTGTAAATATAACGACACGTAAAGACGTTAATTATTCGATTTTCAATTAACAACGTTTCATAGTTTTTGACGATATACATGTATTGTGTTCACATTCAATTAAGATCACAACTTTAACTTCTAATGATCTGTTCAATCGAAGACGTATCTATTATGTAGCCTACTAATGACGTTTAAAAAAGTAATAATGTTGTTATTAAATGTTTATATTGAATTTGAATGATGTTTATGTGGTTTCCATCATCTGCAGGTCATTAATTGATTATTTGATTTGACCATGATGGATGTGGAGTTTGATAGGTCTCTTCTCAGAGTCCACATAAACTACAATAACTTCCCGGCTAAGTTGTGGCGTCTGATAAACAATCCCCAAAACAACTCAGTCTTCTGGAGCCCAAATGGAGAGAGCGTGATCGTCGACCAGCAGCGGTTCGAGGACGAGCTGCTGTCACCGGTCAAACAAGATGCTAAGCTGTTCAAGACCACCAACTTTACCAGCTTCATCCGGCAGCTCAACCTCTACGGCTTCCGGAAGGTTTATGACAGGTCCTTCAAGGACAGACGCCGCAACCTGCACCACTTCTACAATCCCTACTTCAAAAAGGGTCGGCCAGAACTTCTGGTCCATATGAAGAGGCTGACTATTAGTAACAAGGCCAAGATGGAGGCCGGAGAGCAGGTGACCTGTCGTCCCCCGCGCCGAAACCATCAGCAGTCTCAACACAACACAACAAATGAGAAAAGAGGCCAGTTTAACTTTCACACACTAGACTGAACAAAGTAAATATGAGTGGTGACAGCTCTCCTCAATACGGCACATGCATGTCTGGATGAGTTACACTTTTAATTGTTTATGTTGAGTATCATATGATGCATCAGGCTTTTATGGCTCATGATATAATGAGAATATGGAGTTAAAACACACTCAAACGGAGCAAAAAAATATGCAGTTTAGTGCAGATGCTCATATAAATCAACGAGATCTTTATAACAGTATAGCATACTTACATAAAATGATATAAATATCATTCATCACTCTATTTCTCCAGTAATATGTCTTAGTAAGATGAGATTGAAATGATCCAAACATATAATGCAATGCAATCCAGTGCTGATTGAGAGATGAAGAAATAAACGCTCCTCAAAAGCCTGATGATCATATTTGAGACGCACTGATTTTTCAAAAAAAAATTAAAGATTGATGGAGAATCAAGTAAAGCCGAGCTGCTTCAGGTCAGTAAGTGTTCATCTGGAAATATTACTGAAGTTATTCTTACATTTACTTTATAAAAATCGAAGCAAAAACAAAACAAAACACGTGCGTCCAAAACTTAATACAAATATTAATTTGTCAATACATCAAATGAGTTTTAGCATTTAATGAGATATGTAGTATATATATATATATTTAAAAATCAGTCTTTAGTGAAAATGCTTCAGTTCATAATTCAAAAGTATGTCGTTGGTTCTAAAGACACTGCAGTAATTATTATAGTGAAAACTTAAGTAAAGTAGTAAAATAGTTTTTTTTATATGGGTTTGGGTTTTTCCCATGAAACACGAACAGTGTTATCAACAAGTCAGTTCCAGTTTTTTCCATACATCAAATTCAGTTGGAATTTTGCTTGGTTCTTTATAAAAATGTATATTATATCAGGATTTGACTCTGGCCCTCATGCATGCTAACATAAAATGACACCTCTAGACTATCATAATTTACAGTCTTAGGAAGAAGTGCCAGAACTGACACCTCGAAAATAATTTTTTGTAGCTTTCAATGGTCTATAAACTTCTCAAAAGCTCCTTTATACTCGCTTCTTAGGTTGTGCAGTCCCGAATCAGCATTTCGGTTCTGTATCCCATCAGCAGAAGGGGTCTGACCGAAGCCCGATCCCTCCGTGCTCCTGGATCTTTCCTTACAGTGATGTGCCTCCCTTCTACTCTAACAAAGGCATCCCGGTTTCTGTCATTCGCCTCAATCCGTACAGCACTTCTCACAGGGTTCAGTCCGGTCCCGGCGGTCTGTTTCCACAGGAGCCTAAATATATACCTCAGCAGCTGTCCTATCCCTCTGGATTTTACTCGCCAGGTACTGACTTACTTTATCTTACAGTGCATTAAACTCATTTTCCACAGGAAAAGGACTCACATGTGTCTCCTCTGGAGTTTGAGAAGAGATCTCCACAGTGTCTCAAAATGTGCTCAGATCTGCAGAGATACCAACGTCCTCCTAATTTTAGGAGAAACATCGGAGACGAAACCGTTACTGTTGAGATTCTAGTCACTTATGAACGGACTGCACTGTATGTTCAATGGTTGTGTGTTTGTCTCGCTCTCAGTAGTTTGTCAGTGTTGCACTGCTGGTTTTGTTGAAGCAGATCGAGCAGGTGGAGATCAAACAGCTCTGCCATATTCACATTATGCTTATTACCCGGTGAGAAACATTACACAATTCATATGTGTCTGATCATTCATAACTATAAATAATTGCATCTGAATGAATCTCACAAAACTGTAAACAACATGTTCAGGTCATATTTTACTCCATATTACTTTTTGGAATACTTTTTGAATAAAACAATTTGTCAAAGAGATACAATATATATATATATATATATATATTTTTTTTTTTTTCAAAAGACCAAATAAAATATAAAAAATAATTTATTTTTATTCTGTTATATTATTGTTTTGCAATATTTATATTTAATATAATACAACAACACTTTCATTCTCATTACTCTAGCAGAACTATTCTGTGAGCCACCATCACAACAGCATCCAAACCGCAAACTGGCCCGCACACGTTACGGCTGAGTCTCAGAGGGGCGACGTGAACCTCGACAGGGTGTTCCAGATGGTGGATGAGTTCCAGGGTTTGCCCAACGTCCACATAGTCCGAGTGGGCACCCCTGTGAAAGGCCAGCACACCTCCAGCCCAACTCTCTACACTTTACCTGCTGCCTCTAAACCTGAACCTGACAGTCCTCAGAGCTCCAGGATAGACACTGCGGCATCCAGTCCTGTGAGAGACGAGCGTCCCTCTGCCATGGCCTGCAGTGTGGGCACGCAATACATCAAACTGGAGTCTGAGGGACATGAAGTTGAGAAGCAAGGAGCCAGCCAACTCAAAGAAGATGATTCAGCATCTCTGGAGGCCTTAAAAAAGGTCAAAAGACACTATCATCTTAGTTGCTCTTTAAGTGTGTGTTGTTGTTTTAGCTAAAGATACAGTATGACAAAATTAAAATTGAGCCTTCATGGATTGATGCTATAACTCAATACTCTGTGATCAGGCTGCTACAGATCAGAAAGTGACTCAGGAAAGCATCAGAAACTGAGAGCAGAGCAAGACTCACTGCAGCTGCTTTAGGTAGGACAGTTTCAGATTATATCACACCCTCAAATTATGTTTTTACACAATCATTCAGATTTTTTTATTGTACATTTTTATGACTTTATGGTTGTTATGATCCACAGAAGACAGGCAGGATTCATCAGCATATGCAAATGACAAGCATCATAAAGTTATTATTTAATTAATAGTATTTATTATTAATGATAAATAAAGTATTATTATTAGTTATATGAGTTATTTACAGTATTTTAAAAATTGTATGAACTATTTAAGAAAGTTTTGAAGATTTGAAGTAGTGTTAAGTTTATATTGCATGCTGTTTTTTTTTTTTTGAAGTTGTTTTTGCACAAAAGTTTCTGACTAATTTTAATGGCAGATGCTTAAAATGTCTTCAGTGAATGTGATATTATTTATCTTATATATATATATATATATATATATATATTCTTAAATTATTTATCTTATATTTCAGTATTCATAAGCATCAATATATAATTTATTTTTTTTCATTGTAGCACAAGAGTGAAAGTTAGATTTTAATAGCTTTGAATGAACTGATTTGTTTTCAGCTTTTTTGAATTTGAATAAATGCAAAGCAAGTGAAATCCCTGATAAAGGCTGAATGTGTGTCATTGCTGTGTTTTCTGTTATTTTGACTGCTCAGATAATTATATTTTTTATATTATTATATTATAAAGCAGCTCAAGTCATGATAGATGTCCGGTCAGGGGCGTCAGACAGGGGGTAATAATGGAACTGAGTAACAGGGGTCCATGATTTTGTGGGGGTCCCATAGCAAATTCAGTGCACAGAGCCCAGAATTCCTAACGATGGCCCTGTGTCCAGTAAAATAAATCCTCATTTCCCTAAGGACTTTATTTTAAAATGACCTATAATTTAATTAATAGTTAAGTATACCATTAAATTAGGAGACAATACAATTAGATTCTGCAGCTGAAGTATGTTACTCTATTATTTAGTGTAATTAACCTTTTTTTTTTTTGCCCTCTGACAAATTGTAGTCACTCAATTTAACTACAGAAAGGCCTACTGTAAATAAAAACCTGTCTTCCATTTGTTTTTGTCTGTTTTGCGCAAATCAACATCCCTAAAAAGACAAATCCAAAATACTAGTTTTCAACATCTGATTTTGATTTTAAAGGAATAGTTCACTCAAAAATAAAAATTGCAGAAAATCTATTCACCCTCACTGGCTATGGGCCTGTATTTTAGTCAGAAGCAACAGTTTGAAGTTAAAGTCTTAAAGATAGATTTGTTTCTTTTGGCTTCTCAAGACATTAACTGATGAACTGGAGTTGTGTGGATTATTGTGATGTTTTTATCAGCTGTTTGGACTCTCATTCTGACGGCACCCATTCACTGCAGAGCATCCATTGCTGAGACACTGATGCAATGCTACATTTCTCCAAATCTGTTTGCATTAACAAATTCATCTACTTGTTGGATGGCCTGAGCGTGAATACGTTTATAGCAAATTTTCAGTTTTGGGTGAACTATTCCTTTCACATGGCTGTCATTATACATGCAATAGAGGGATAATAATTATTCAGTCATAAGTCCATTGCATTTTACAAGGTTATTATGAAGCTTACAGTTGTTACACTGATGATTATATTCATGGTATGCTTAGAAAATCAGTTTTGGCATCCAGCATCGTTCTGTAATTCTGATGTTTCTCCAGTGATGTCAGCTAGAGGGCGTAGTGTGTGTGTGATGTGTGTGCATGTTTTTCTATCCCGATGGGGACTTAAACCTGAATACACACCGACTCATGGGGACTCGTGTCACCGTGGGGACCTAAATTGAAATCCCCATGGGGAAACAAGCTTATAAATCATACAGAATGAGTTTTTCTGAGAATGTAAAAATGCAGAAAGTTTGGTGTGAGCGGTAGGTTTAGGTGTAGGGTCGGTGTAGAGCGATAGAATATGCGGTTTGTACAGTATAAAAACCATTACGCCTATGGAGAGTCCCCACAGGGATAGTAAAACCAGACGTGTGTGTGTGTGTGTGTGTGTGCGCGCGCGTTTAATGGGTCGGATAAGTTCTGCTCCACCCTCGCTGACAGTCAGCAGGTACACGCACGCTAGCTCACACTCGCGTTCACTCTCAACTTTAAACTTTTCCAGCGTTCCTGCAGTTCGGATCAACAGCACTGAGGCTTCGGGACAGCGCGTGCGGATTCTACACTTGAAGTGACTGGATTTCTCGACATGGATCTGTGGAGATGTAATCTGAGTCGAACAGGTTTGTGAAGTCTTAATTCATTTAGGAACATGGGAATGAGTAAAACGGCTCCCTCCTGACTGTTTTCGATCGCTCCCGCGAAGTTCTTGTTTTAGCTGGATAATGTTTTTTTTCCCCCCGTCGCATCTTTTTTTATGTTGGACCGCATGGGAAACATTTCCAGGCGTTCACAGTGGGATTGTTACGCGTGTTTTCTACGGCTTGATCAGAGTGGAATAACTGAGACATTGTTGCATTGCTGAATACGGTGATTCTGCTACAACCTGCTACATTCTGGAATGTTTGGAATCCTTTGAAGTGGACGCGGCGCACCGCACAATAATTGAGTCATTATGACGTCACGTTATCAATCACGACGCGCGGGATGCCACGGGGAAATCGGCAATATCATTGAAATGACCTTTAGGCGATCATATTAAACTCTTTTTGTGGTTTAAATCAATGCTCGCGCCAGGAGGCTGCCCGCTGTCAATCACTCTGTCAGTCATGTTCTGTCAGTGATACAGGCCAGTCACCAACTGAAGTTCCATTAAATTGTTAATAATATTTTATTTCAAATCTCAACCCTGCTGAGCTTAAAAAAAAAAGCACTAAAAAAAACTACCCACTCTAAAAGCCGCTGTGTTTTTTTGGACAGTTTCAGTGACCTCTAAGGATTCTCCTGCCTTTTATCTGAGCTCTGATTGGACGGATAGCTTTGTGGACAGTGCATAATGTATGGCCGGGGCCCGCCGCTGCAGCCAGGACAATGAGGGTTCCTGTGCGGCGATTGTCCGGGCTCTGGCCGTGGCTGCTCATGGCTGTCTTGCAGGTGGCGTTGGGCCACACGGGCCTGGAACTAGCCGCTGCTGTGGAGTCCGAACGCTCCGCACCCCGAGCCATGATCAAGGTGTCACTGCTGAAACAGGAGCCCACCAGCAAGCCAATCACCCTAGAAGGGGTGTTCGCCGGGGGCAGCGCAGGCTATGCTGAAGGGAAACTGATGCAGGTAAGAGCTGGAAGATGTTTTCAGGTTTTTTTATGCAATGCATTGGACTGATGATCTTTGTTGGCATCTTCTTGGAATTTTCCATTCTTTGTAGTGGAAAAAGGTTCTTTAGATTATTAAAATGTTCTTTATACTGGGAAAAATGGTTCAAGAACTGTTCACTGAAAGGTTCTTGAAATGGAGGTTCTATTGCATTGCTGCGAAAACCCCTTTATAGAGTCTAGGTAACAACGCAGGATCTGTAAGGGAATACAGTTGTGTATCTCATGCATCTTTGCTCTTGGAGGCTTTAACTGGCAGACATTGGCATTAAAAAGTATTTGGACTCTTTTGACATTGTCTGAATGTCAGTGCATTAGATGTTAGATCAAAGCAAGTGTAATTTATTGTAAAGAAACCGCACAAGCACATTCATTTTTGACTATTTTTTGGCGCCACTGTAGATGTTTTGTCATATAGTACCAGAAAACAGTTCTTTGCATGATCATTTTGGTCTTGGGGGATTTAACTGGCAGACAGTGACCCTAAAAAGTATTTGGACAACTGAGCAACACTTAAAACTGTTTGAATGTCAATGCATTATTGTTAGAGCAAAGCAAGTGGCACTTGTTCTAAAGAAACCGCACATGCATGCTCTTCTAGCAAAACGGTTAACAAATTAAAAATGCAATAACTTTCTGTTTATTTTGGACTTTTCATTTGAATTTTTAGGCCGTGATACAAGTCATGTAGTACCAGAAACACCAACAATTCTTTGCATGATCACTTTCGGTCTTGGAAGCTTTAACTTGCAGACAGTGAATGTAAAAAGTATTTGGACACCTAAAACTGTCCGAATGTCATTGCATTAGATATTAGAACAAAGAAAGTGTAATTTGTCACTCTTCTAACAAAACATTTGGCAGAATAAATGCAATCACATTCTGCTTATTTCAAACTATTATATTTCATAATTTTGTGGCCACTATAGATGTTTTGTCACATAGTACCAGAAACGCCAACAACTCTTTGCATGATCAATAACATAGAAGTCTATAGAGTTTGCTGATGGCATAGTGTACATGTTGTCGTCTTGCATGCAGAATCACTCACCTGGGAAGTCATCGAATGCATCTGTGTGAGTGCCAAGAACCGCCCGGGTCTTATTGGAGCTGAAAGATTTGTGGTGTTGTAAACTGTTAGGTCTGTTCTCTGAGGCCATACTGCCAGATGTTCGGGCTTTGAAGGCTGCGAGTTCTGCGATTCTCTGCAAGAGCCATCCAGATCAAGCCAGAGGGGATGCACTAACTGTAAATGGATCTTGAAAGCCTTTATCCCTGTGGGAAAGAGTTATTGCATCATAAAAATAAACTAAAACCGATTTCTTGTTAGTGCAGTGCGTGTTTGTGATCAGCTTGATGAGGTTGCGTTTGAATTTGACAGCAGTTCACATTAAGAGATGATTGCTTCATTAGACACGGATGAAGAAAAGTGTTTCTGGAGATTTGTTTTATTGGCAAAATGCATTTAGCTTCTCTGTTCGGTTGCAAGTTGTAGCTACATTTTTGCTTTATCTGAAGAAAGTGTGAGCGGTGTGAGTGCAAAATGCGCTGTGTTGTGGGTGGTTGCTAAGGTGTTCTGAGTGGTTGCTAGGTGGTTTCTTACTGTTTCAAGTGAGGAAAGTCCACCCTCAAATCTCTGTGATATTCTGGCCTCTCTTCAGTGTAAGTCTGAGAGTTTATTTAGGCTGTTTTATCAAAATCACAAATGTTTTGAGGTGTTATTCATGCCGCCGGTAACTAGTATCTACATGCAAAGTGTAAATTATGAATGCAAGCCTGTGCAAAAGAACATTGTGGGTTTGTAACTCAAAGGTTGAAAGTTCAAGCTCTGTAAAGGGTGTTTTGTGAACTGTGTCGAGTCGCTGAAGGCGGCAGTTGTATTTGAGCGAGTGCTTTGCATTGGTTAAGAAACATCCGCTGAGTAGAACTAATTATCAGACAGATAATGCATGCACGTTTGTTTGATTTACAGAAGGGTATCAGTCTCTTGCTTATAGAGAGCGTGTCGAACAGACAGATGCTTTTTGTTGCAGCGCCAACCTGTTGAAACAGGCCTGGCTTGCTTTGGCGCATTGTCCTCCTGCATAATGTTCCCTTCCTCTAGGGGACAAAGTGATAGAAGCAGGTGGGGGTAGGGGGAAGTTTCTATCTTTTCTTCCCTCACTTTTTCCTTTGGCCAGCCCACATGAATTCAACATTACGGCTTTTATCTACTGCTGGGAAGAATGATATCCAATGATCTACTGTATAGCATGTTTGTATGCAGTGCATCCAATTATGGAGTGCACTAGGGCTGGACGAATTATGTCTCTATATTTTTTGGTCTTTTGACTATTTGATATATAAATCTGGATATTTATATGTATTTGCTTTGAAATTGCTTGGGGTTTTTAATTAAATTTTTGCTATTTAGATTCAAAAGTGTTTAATTTTAAAAAGTAACATACAGTAAAAATCTAGTTAAAATAATAATAAATGCATGTTTTCCACAATGTTTTACAACACATGACCACAAGGAAAAATAAATCTAAAACTATATACTTTTAATCTTTTAATAAATATCTGGAAAATGTTATTTACTTGCTTTGTGTGTGTGTGTGTGTGTGTGTGTGTGTGTGTATATCCCAATACCGTGTTTGGAAAGAAAATGATGTGTAGGCGGAACCCCCTAAAGGGAATAAATACGAGATGGGAGGAAAATATATATTTTAATATTTTTCCTCGCAGTTATATAATTGGGTAATTATACTACATATATATTTCGGCATCAGGGAGCCGCTATTATACCTGGCATTGAAACTGGCATCATGCTTTTGAATGCACGATCACTTTTAGTTTCACTTTCACTTTTCGAGATTTGCGATTGCACGTACTCCGTTTATACTATGGAGCGGCAGTAACTGCCACACATTTTACAAGATTATATGTTTGTCAGTGGTACTGACAGATCATTCGCCATCGTCCTCATTCATCTCTCCTTACTCTGTTTATGTGGTAAGTAAAATTTTATGTACTGTAGGATGTACCAGGCAACCGTTACACCGTGTCTACACCGGACGCGACAGTTGTCTGGTCGCGCCGCGCCGCATCAGCTAAAGTCTGTCTACACTGGACGCGCGACAAAGCGACCGTTGAAAATCATTTGAAATTTGTGTCAGCACGTCATAAATAGAACGCGGCAGCAGTTTACTGTCGGGGATTTGTTGTGTCGCGCCGCATCCAGTGTAGACAGCATCACTGATTATAATAAGTTCTATAGACTGATCTATAAATAATAAATCTCTATTATAGATCAGTGGTTCTATAGTATTTTGTCGCGCCGTGCCACTCGCGTCCGGTGTAGACGCAGTGTTAGGAATATATATATATTTGTCCATTGTTGCTATTTACATTCAAAATGTTTAATATAAAAAGTAACATATGGTGAAAATCTAGTTAAAATAATCAGGGCTTGTTTTCCCACCACATTTTTCACCAAATGAACAATACAATATTTTTGATATCTAGATTTTGTTTTTCTTAAACTGTATCTTTTTTTTTCTAAGTTTTAATAAATATTTGAACATTTATATGTGTTTGCTTTTAAATAGTTTTTACATTAAAATACATTAAAAATCTTGTTAAATTAATCAAGGCCCAATCATGTTTTTCACCAAATGAACAGAAGGAAGAACATTATATTTTTCTTCTAAAACAATGTACATTTTTTAAACGATTAAATACAGTAAAAATCTAATAAAAAAATTTCAAGACCTGTTTTCCACAACATTTTTCACCAAATGAAAAGAATATTTTTCTAGACATTTTTTCTAAAACTTTTTTCGATCTTTTAATAAATAAAAATTCTGCTTGTAGTGATGACACTACTGAAAGGTTAAATTATTGTCCAGCCCTAATACTGATATTGAATTATTGTCCAGCCCTAGTCTAATGATGATCTTTTAGCCAAATAAAAAGTGCATTAAAATCATTATGATGTTCAGTGTTGCTTAATTTTATATTTCCAGTCAAATACATGGTGAAGTTACTGTTATTATTACCATTGTATATTTGTTAATATTACTCATGTAGCCTCATCTCAATTTGCACATCTGTTACTGTTGCTGCTGCTGTTGTTATGTAGTTGCACTCAATTTGCACATGTTACTGCACTATTGTTTTTTGCACATAAGTTAATACTGTACATTCACATATGTAGATACCATATACATAGTCTATATTTCTATTTTCACATTCTATATTTCTACTCTATACTCGCATATATAGATACACATGGACTATATTTCTATTTTTTCATAGTCTATATTCCTACTACTGCAGCATAGTTTTTATTATTATGTTTCTTACATTGTATGTATGTATGCGTGTATAGTTTGTGTATAGCTTTGCACTGTCTTGGCATTCATTGTGGACAGCAAAGTAAGAATTTCATTGCTCAGGGAAACTTGTTTTCCTCACTGGGCATATGACCATAAACGCTTTAAATCCTTGAATCCTTGAGGGTTCCATATATGTCACCTGGCCCTAAAGTCTATGGTTCATTTGCCTCCGTATTGAACTCCAGACTGAACGAAGTGAAGCAACAGCCTGCCTCTTTAAGTTAAGTGTGCTGGATTAGTGCTTTTCCAGGCATGTCTGCCTTCGCTGTCCTAGGGCGGCTCTGAATTCGCCGCGTTGAGGATGACAGCCAGTTTTCATAACCACCAGTAATTACACATCTCCCATCCCATTTGATCTTCCTTAGCATGTTGTTTCTCCAGGCCACAGGTTGGCGAGCGGTGTTACCCAAATTTGACTGGCTTTTCTGGGCCGGTCGGCGGATCACAGGCAGAGAAAAACAAGATCAGACATGATGGTGGAAATGTTTTATTTAAGGAGAAATGGTCTCTCGGCGCAGCCACTGGTCTTTAATGGAGGCCGATCATACGTGCTCTGTTTATTTTGCATTACAAATGTGCA